TTTTTTTCCTTGATTTGTTTTCCGTCGATCTTGTTTTCCGTGCTGAGCACCAATGCTACCGACGCCAGGGAGGAAGCTCCAACAACTGGACCCTACCTATCGACCCATCAACTCATGAACCGGAGACCAACGGCTTTACTTCCCTTCCGAAGGAAGGCGTGATTAGAGAAGTTATGCCTCAAAACATCCCGCCGGCGCCAACTGGGATTGAACCCAGGCCTGCTGGGGTGAGAGGTAATCACGCTCACCACTAATGGTTGTGAAGCTGTAGCTGCTGTGCTTACTTACTTACTTAAGTATCTTGGGCACGTTGAGCTTCGAATGAGAAAGGGGCTCTTCAAATTATGGTCATGTGAGAATTCGTTTCCTCAGAATTGATTGAATGGTTGTATTGGTTCATCTTCAATCGATTGATATGAAAATTTACAGCACTGTTCAGTGGTGCAAAGGGCCTATGTGAAGAATTCCGTCTTAGGCGACTCCTCGCTTTTGCCTTTACTTGAGCTCAGCTGCTGCGTGTCCTGCCTTCCAATCCAGCGGTTGCTTGTAGATTTTATTCTCGATCCTTCGTTCTGTGTGGTCGATCCACCTCCACTTCCGTTCTCGAATTTCAGTTGATTTTTATTTATTTATTTATGTTATGGTCAACAGGTAAAATGTTTCTCCCCAATGACAATATACTTACTTACTAGACAAATTAACATAAAATACTCTTTAAATTGTACTTATTTCTAAAACGGGAAACATTGTAGCATCTGTTAAACATGCGACACATCCTCCGCATGGGATCATTCCATCCGTAGTTGGTTCGTGAAAGGCGGTTGTTCAGGAAAGCTTGCGATCGTAGATTACGGCGGTGGGTATTGATGTCGATGCTACTCAGTAGTGTTGAGCAATCAACGTTTCCCTGAAGAAGATCAACGACGAAGCTCGCCATTGCTACGTTACGTCTCGCATGCAAAAGCTCTAAGTTGATAAGCATACAACGGCTTTCATAGCTAGGTAGATTTCTAGGGTCATTCCAGCGAAAATGCATTAAAGCATACCGGATGAACTTCCGTTAAATAGCTTCAATACGCATGGTTTCATTTTGGTAGTATGGAGACCACACAACCGTCGAATTCTCCAAAATAGGTCACACCAACGAACAGTATAATGCTTTTAGGCAGTATACATCTTTGATTTTTTTGGCGAAGCGGAATATGAACCCGAGTTGTGAGGAAGCTTTGGATACTACGTATGCAACATGATCCTTGAAGCTGAGCTTGGAGTCAATCAGTATTCCCAGATCCTTGATAGTCGATTCACGTTTCAAAGTTATGCCCGTCAGGATGTAGTCATGGTGAAGAAGCGAACGCTTGCGGCCAAAGGAAATTACAGAGCATTTCGAGACATTCAGTGACATGCCATTAATACGACACTACTCAGCGAAGACTTCCAATTGTTGCTGCTAGAAAATGGCATCCGCATACGATAGTTTAAGGCATTTCAAGATGGTATTAACATCATTCATGTACAACAGAAACAGAAATGGCCCAAGATGGCTACCTTGGGGAACGCCGGATGTCACAAGGAAGGATGATGAAACATAGTCTCCAATCATGGCAGACATGTTTCGACCAGTCAGGTAGGAGTAGCGCCAAGTAAGCAAGCCATCGTGAACACCTATCCTGTCGTATTTAGCCAACGCAATGCCATGGTTCATTTTGTCAAATTCTGCGGAGAGGTCTGTGTAGATGACATCTACTTGATCGCCACGTTCTACTTCATGAATGATGAACGAAGTGAACGTAACTAAATTGGTGGTCATGGAACGCTTAGGCATGAAGCCATGCTGAACACGAGAAACTATTTCCAGCAAGCTGGAAAAAACCCCAGACATCAAGGAGAGATTGAACACGTTGGCTAGAAGTGTCGCGAGAGCAGTCAGGCAGTGTTGAGGACTACCGTCGCGACGGTACGCCATCTGGACCGGAACCCGTTGAATTTTTTAGCTGCTTCCCGGACGAAATAACCATTTTGCTGGTGACAGAAAGTGGATGGCTGGAGAAGGTTTAGAGAGAGACGTTACTAGACGCAGCAATTACATCCTGAGTGCTGAGTCTTTCGTCGTTGAAAACACTGCCGAATTGTGTGCGAAACAAGTCGGCAATACCCACGATAGAGTCCACTTCCACTACGCCGTTCGTCATACTTGAGGGTAGTTCGCTTTCCTTTCTTTAGGCATTCATGGCGCCAAAAGTTCTTAGGATTTGATTTCAGATGACGCTGAAGCTGGTCATGGTACAGTTGGTTGTTGAGTCGCTTGTAATTCGTGTTAGAATAACTTGCTTTCGTGGAATCGTTTCGGTATTTGCTGTGCTTACGAAGAGCAGTCCTTTTATATTTTTATTTTCAATCGCTTAAGCTCTGAATTCGGCCAGGCAGGTTTAACAGGTTCGCGACTGATTCGCTTTGGTAAGAATTGATCGATTGCGTACAAAAGAATGTTGAATATCGTCGATGCCGCGAGATTAGAATCACAGCCACGCAGTGCCTCTTCCCAGTCGACATTTGAGAGAAAATCATTCATTTCGCTGAAGTTGACTTCGCCAAAGCTATAGAGGACTCTCTCTACAGTGTCTTTGAAATTACGATGAACGTTGAGCTTTATGCTCACCAGCAGAGGAGGATGATACCTTACCAATCAGGCTAAGGCCTTGTTGTCCTCTGCTGTCCGAAGAAGTCGTCTCCACTCTACTCGATCAATGGCCACAGTTCGCCAGCCTCGTAGTCTGCGAAGGTTCCACAGGTCACCTTCTACTTGGTCAATCCACCTTGCCCGCTGCGCGCCTCTTCTTCTTGTTCCTGTTGGGTCGCTTTCTAGAACCATTTTCACTGGGTCGTCGTGCGGCATTCTTACGACGTGCCCAGCCCACCGTAGTCGCCCAATTTTTGCGATGTGGACGATGGATGGTTCTCCCAGCAGCTGGTGCAATTCGTGGGTCATTCGCCTCCTCCACGTTCCGTCATGCATCTGCACTCCACCGTAGATGGTACGCAACACCTTCCGTTTGAAAACACCAAGGGCGCGTTGGTCCTCCACGAGCACAGTCCAGGTCTCATGGCCGTAAAGGACCATCGGTCTAATCAGCGTCTTGTAGACAGTCAACTTCGTGCGGCGGCGAATTTTATTCGACCGGAGCGTCCTCCGGAGTCCAAAGTAGGCACGATTCCCTGCCATAATGCGTCTTTGAATTTCTCTGCTGGTATCATTTTGGGCGGTCACCAGTGAGCCCAAATACACGAACTCATCGACCACCTCGATTTCGTCACCGTCAATCTGAACTCATGGTGGGAGGCTCACATTGTCTTCCCTAGAACCTCTTCCTTTCATGTATTTTGTCTTTGATGCGTTGATGGCAAGTCCAATCCGTCTAGCTTCAGCCTTCAGTCTGATGTACGTTTCCGCCATCATCTCAAAGTTCCGTACCATAATGTCAATGTCATCGGCGAAGCCAAGGAGCTGGATGGACTTCCTGAATATCGTGCCACTCGTGTCTATCCCAGCTCTTCTGATCACACCTTCTAACGCGATGTTGAACAGCAGACACGAAATTCCATCACCCTGCCGTAGCCCCCTTCGAGATTCAAAGGGACTCGAGAGTGTCCCAGATACTCGAACAACGCACATCACTCGATCCATCGTCGCCTTGACCAAACGCGTCAGTTTATCCGGAAGTCCGTACTCGTGCATAATCTGCCATAGCTGATCCCGATCGATTGTGTCGTATGCGGATTTGAAATCGATGAACAAATGATGGGCACGTTGTATTAGCGGCATTTCTGCAGAACCTGCCGAATCGCGAAAATTTGGTCCGTGGTAGCGCGGGCACCCATGAATCCCGCCTGGTATTGCCCCACGAACTCTCTTGCATATGGTGACAGACGGCGGCATAGAATTTGGGAGAGTACCTTGTAGGCGGCGCTCAGCAGTGTGATCGCGCGATAGTTGCAGCAATCCAACTTGTCGCTCTTTTTGTAGATTGGGCATACGACACCTTCCATCCACTCCTCCGGTAATATCTCCTCCTCCCAAATCTTGGCAATTACCCAGTGCAGCGCTCTAGCCAGTGCTTCACCACCGTATTTTAATAGCTCACTTGGTAGTTGATCTACACCAGTTGCATTGTTGTTTTTCAGCCGACCGATCTCCTCCTCAACTTCTTGAAGATCAAGGGCCGGTAGCCTGTCGTCTTCTGCGCGTGCTCCAAGGTCTGCTGCCGTGCCACCTTCGTTTTCTGCTGCTTCACCGTTGAGGTGCTCGTCATAGTACTGCTTCCACCTCTCAATCACCTCACACTCGTTCGTGAGAAGGATGATGTCTACAGTTTTTAACAAGCGCGGAGGGGGCTGATATTATGGAATAATCAGTGCACATCTCCTCACTTACGAAACAGAGATCGAGCATGCGGTTGTTATGGTTTGGAATTCCATTCATCTGTCCGAGTCTTGCATTGCTATAGACATCCAGCAAATTACATGATGCCTGGTTGAAGTTGTAGGTTGAAGTCTCCCAGGATGATTAAGTTGTCATTAGCGCCCATATGCGAAACAATCCAATCGAGTGACAGCAGGTGCTTTTCGATGATAGTACCATCGTTTACACGATCCGGAGGAATGTACACCACGCAAATGTAGAGGGTAGAGTCACGAGAAGTAATTGACACCCACAATTGCTCAACGGACGAATTTTCAGGAGGTGGTAGTAACCGTAGCAGGAACGCTAAAAGAACACCACCGCCAGTGTTTTTACTGCTGTTGGATGGCGACGGATTTGGCGGAAAACGGTGTATGTACGGTCGAACAACTGACATGATAATGTATTGTCATATAGCCAAGTTTCGGTAAAAGCGTAGATATCGTAGCAGGCGTCATTGCATGCAAGCTGGTACTCTGCCAGGGAGCTGTTGATTCCACCCAGGTTTTGATAATACAGCAAGACATCAGATGACACTAACTTATCGTTTCTACGGACTGCCGCTTGAGCCTGGCGAGACGATTGCTGTGTCGTACAGGTGGTCAGCGGCGGTGCGTCCTTTTGCGTGACGCATAGCGATAGGAGAGATAGACAACTGGCCATGCAGCGATGATCGATTATGAAATGACGAACTAGAACTAAGCGATGTATCAACGGTTGAATTGTCACGAGCGGGATCATACTTGCCAGAAACGACGGGAAGACCCCGTCACCAGGCCCGCCTACGGGACCGGGACGGCTGCAGATCGCTGGCTGGAATGGCTTGACTGTGGTGGGTGGATCAGGGTTTCCGTAATGCCAGCGGCGGTGCGTCCCAGTGGGCAATCAGAAGTTAATAATGGAAACGCTGAAAAAGACGGACTGCTGGAAGTGATTGACGCATCAAGAATCTATGTACTTAAATGAAAATTGTACTTGCCTGGATAAGCGGCTTGGAAAGACCCTTCACCAGTCCCAGACACAGGACCGGGACGGCTGTTGGTCGCTGGCTGGAAAAGCTCGACACTTCTGATGGCATCGACATGGAGATCAGTGTTCGAGATCTAGTTGTGATCTAGTGTTATGGATGGAAGTCTTTCACCTCCCGTGATATCGGTCCTTGGTAGGCAGAATTAAATTACGCTAGTAAAGTGGATAAAAATGATGTGCGGAGAATTAAAGGCCACGGCCCAGCTCGACCATCTCCGGTTTGGATGAATCTCTACACAGTTGCACCCACCGCGTTTTCTCGGCGAGGTTTCAACCAGTCGGTTTGATTTTTTGCATGTGAGTAGTGCCAATGGAGAACTACCCGAGCAAAGTTAGAGATCAAATTGAAATCAGAATTTGCTGTTATGATGTAACTTATTTTGAATACTCCATTTGATCTCATTTTGGTTGACTTAACGGTTAACACAGCAAAAATGAGAGCAACATTTTACACTGTTGAATCAAACGGAAAACTAATTCTGCTTTCAATGAAATCAATTTGATTACTGATTTTGCATTCATAATGTTTGACTGAATACGGGCCTGTCGTAAATGGTTAGCATCCATGCTTCTCACGCTGAAAGATTTGAGCTCAAATGTCACCTCGGGCTAATCACGAATGACCTCAAATGTGTCAAACAAAACAAATAAACAATAATCGTTCGTTCAACGACAGATGAACTTAAATCAAATTTCAAACAAGAAATTAACAGTAGAACTTCAAGTTAAGTTGCTTTGATTTAAAAAGTCTTGACTGCATAATGAAAGCATAATATGATATCAGACTTCTGTCGCGACAATTGAAATTAAAATGAGTTTTCATTATGATAGGAACTGCAAACTTTAATATCAATTTGCTTTCATTTTGTTAACCGACTTAGCTCGGGTCAGGCAGAAAATCAGAGCGTTTGGTTGAAAACCCACCGAGACAAAGCGGTGGGCAGAACTCAGTGGGTAACGCGTTCTTCGGGAAAAGCTGTATCTTCTAAATGTTTTTGTTTCCACGGATTTGACTCAGGACTAATTTTTCAAACATACACCCTGTAAATCATAACTCGTAAACCACTGACACTGCTTGTAAATAATGAATATAATTGCCGATTTGGGGCGATGTATATTTTATGTCACGTTCTAACACAGAAAAAAACATAACCGTAGAAGTACAATGAAATTTATTGTAAACATACAATAGATTTTATTGTATTTACAATAAATCGTACTGTCCACAACGTTAAAATAACCATAGAATTAATTGTTTCCACAATAGAATCTATGGTAAATGAAGAAATCTACAAAAGAAAAAGGGGGTTGTTTTGTATCTTAACCGTACAAACATGAGCCATTTACCATTAATTTTATTGTTTTTCTATTGTTGAAAATTCAAACTACATGGGAAGTATTGTAGATCTATTGTAATAATAATATTTTTAATTTACTTGCATGATATACGGACAAAAGGATCGATTGTTGGCAATGAAGTATGTTGTGATTGTATTTTATTTTATGTTAATTGTATGGTTATTTTTTCCGAGAAGGGAGGAGTAGAGGGGGTGTATGGTTTTGTTACAAGCAGTGCATTAGGTATAGGAAAAACGTTAAGAAAGGGGGGAGGAGGGTTTATTTTTCTTAAATTTAGCGTGACATAATCAATGTGGGGCGAAAATTTCTGAATTCCCATCAGTTTAGTGTGAAATTCGATGTCAACATTTCATTAGGGCGAGAATGCTTGTGATAACAATCACTTCATCCACCGATTTCTTGCAAATAAACCATACTAGCTCGTAGAGGAAATATCCCCTACTTGATGGTGCTGTTGGTTGGCATTCCCTTGGAAATGTGGATGAAAATTTCTAGAGCTGGAATTAGGGCGTAACAGCTTTTGTAAACAATGACGTCCCTCTATGATTTATAGAAAGTCAAGGCTCGCCCACGCAAATCAACATCATGGAATTAACGTCTTGCTCTACTGGATGGTTATGTTGGATTGCGTGAGCGTACCTTGAATTTCTAGAAATCATCGAGAGAGGTAATTGTTTACGAAAGCTGTTACACCGTAATTCCAGCTCTGTCAGGAATTTGTTTCGCGGCAATCTTTACTTTTGCCCTGTTTTTATTTCTTTGCTGATTCTGCCATCACGCCTATCCCGTTTGTGTAGGGCTTTAGTATTGCGAAGTCGGAGGGCTTTAGTAGTTAAGACATAGGAGTTGAACAAGAACCGTGCAATTGTTTCGAAACTGAATAGTCCATTATTTCTCATTAGCGATGGGGTAGAATTACGTACAACGGCTCGCAACTAACAACTTACACGGGCAGGTAAATAACAATATATCAACGAACTGAGCAGCGTGATAAAGCGAGATATGAGAGATTTGAACAGTAGATCACCATATTCTCCAATTCACTAATTAGCATCTAAAATTCTAATTGTAACCTGATCACTCAACGAACTGCCAGAGACGGCAGCGACAGGGCAAACAAATCATTGGGAGCTCTTCCATTATCTGAGACTCTAGCTGGATTGGATCTCATTGACATAATTCTACTGGATGCCCAATCGGAACGAAAACCGAGGAATTTGATGCCAATCCGACATGCTGGGCAGTCAGTAGAGAATGTACTTTAGAGAAATATGGATACACCTCTCTTTAGTACCAGCTCAGTTCGATTCAGGCGGCCGGCATGAAACCACGTAGTGATGCAGAATATTTTAATTAAATCACGCCAATGGCTGGCTTTTGTCGGACGCAAGTGTGGTGATTAATTAATACCTAACGCTCTTGTGAATACAACTCGATGTGGTTCGATAAGCTCTTTAACTGTGGATGTGTGGATAGAAATGCATAGGGTGTTGGCGACAGAAGGCTTGTTGTTGAACCGCTATCATCTATTCCAGTAGATGGGTAAATCAATGAATAAAGGGTGATCTGTGCATGCAGGAATTAATATCATTCACATCATCCAAAGAAATCATTGGATGTTAAAAATGATTTTTAAATCACCAATTCCCAGCATTCTTCTTCTTGTGGGAAATTAGGTCATGGAAATATTCTTGCATTATTACACCAAGTAAAGCACTTATCGCTGTGCAGAAACTTCACGTTCCGCCAATATGTTTCAATTGAATGGCACAAGGAAGCATCTTGCCTTCGTGACCGGAACTATGTGCTTTGCAGAGTTTTGCCTCTGCAGCTATATATCAAAGAACCTTACTATGACAAATTTCACTCCCGATAATGATAGCTGGCGTGAAAATGGAATCCATTTTCGGTACCTTTTCGAGCATGCGATAATTAATTTACGTTCGTCGAATTCTGCGGAAATGGGAGCACTTTTCGTGTCAAAATTTATTTATTTTATTTGTTTATTTCGTCAACCAACGTAGACTAGTACAACTAATACAGTTTTGTTTTCTTAAATATATATTTGTATAAAAAAAAGTAGTGTCAGCTTTCTTGTCTTTTCTTTTATGAGTTGTTATTTCTTATGGAATAAAAATATTGCTTTAGTTTATGCCGAGACATTGTAAAGTCAATGGTTTCGCAGTGTTTATTGTAAGAGGCCATCATGCGGTTTAATGGCCCATATTTTGCATAATTTGTGCGATGATGTTTTATGGTAAATAAATTTCGATTTCGGAGTTGCCTAGTGGGTGCATGGAAATTTAATTTTGATAAAAGTTCTGTTGAGTCAATTCGCTGCGAAACGATATCATTTACAAATGAAACCATTGCATATTCACGACGCTCTTTTAATGTTTGTATGTTTATAAGCATGCAGCGTGCTTCATATGATGGAAGAGGAAATGAAGTCCAACCTAATTTACGAAGAGCGTATAATAGAAATTGTTTTTGTACTGATTCTAATCTTTCTTCGTGCGTGATTGAAAATGGAGACCATACAATGCTACAATATTTCAGTATTGACCTCACATAGGCAATATATAGTGTTTTAATTGTGTAAGGGTCCTGAAAGTTATAGCAAAAGCGCTTGATAAAGCCTAGCATGTTATTTGCCCTGTGAATAATTGTATTGTAATGGTCTATGAAAGTTAGCTTAGAGTCTAAGATAATTCCTAAATCCCTAACTCTTTCACATTTGTCTACAGTTTGATTTCCTAATGCAATTGAAATGTTTGAAGTTGTTCTTTTTCTACTAAATGATATTAAGTTACATTTTTTTACATTCAATTCTAGTAGACTTTTGTTGCACCATATGTAAAATATGTGTATTTCATTCCGGAATATATTGATGTCTTCTTCATTTCTTATTTCCAAAAAGAGCTTCATGTCGTCGGCATAAATAAGCAATTTAAGTTTTTTTAAAAAGGAATGTAAGATATGTCGTTTACGTATAGAATAAAAAGGAGAGGTCCCAAATGAGAGCCTTGGGGGACGCCTGAAGTGACTTGAATTGGGCTCGATTTCTTTCCGTTGAATTTAATTATTTGTTGGCGGTTAGTTAAATATGATTCAAGCCATTTCAGGAGCCCTGACTTCATTCCAATTTTTTGCAGTTTAAAGAGTAACATTGGTATGTCTATGCGGTCAAATGCCTTGCTTAAGTCTGTATAGAGAGCTTCTACGTGGTTTCCATTATCCATTGCATTCAATGAATAGTCTATAAATTCAAGTAA